TAATCAATATCTCCTTTTAATCAAGCAAAAGAGACAACTTTACATTCATGGTAATACATTACAATAATCCAACCTATGGCGCGTAATGGCAATAAATATATTTTTTTCCAAGACGAACTAACTTGTCAATAAATAAATCAGAAAATATAACAATAATAAATAATAATATAACAATAATAAATCAGAAAATATAGCAATAAATCTTCTCCAACATTTGGCGATCAATAAACAAAGGAGTGTGACGATAGAATTTCTACATTCTCGTGAATTTATAACGTAAGCTTCCCTATCCTTGAAGGACAACAAACATCAGATAGTGATTCTAGTTTACCTTAATTCTCATACTGCGCATTTGCAGCCTACTGAACATTTTTACTAGTACTGTTATTACTTTACAGTTTTTTATCGTAAATTCTGCGAAGGATTTGATTAAATCTAGTGCCTCTTTAACAAAATTGAAAACTATTACATCAGGTACAAAGTAAGAGTTAAACATGTTGTATGCATAGAATGACGTCACGCAGCGCATGAGCAGTCCTTGATTAAGCATCTTCGACCGTTTATGCCGTTGACAACTGTATATTTCCTTTTGCACTTAGCTGCAACATTAGTCGCTGATAGACAAGCCACGCTGAGTGTTTTACATTTAGGGACAGAGATATACTTTCCAAGGCACTTGTTGTATCTTTGTGTCCTGCTTTTCACGCAGTGATTTGCACTGCGTGTGAGGCGCTTCAAAACATAAAGGAACTTCCTTTGGCCATCCTCAGCGGTTTCGCCTTGCGATGATTCTGTCTTTGAGGTATTTTTGTGACCTTCTAGTGTTCTTTCTTCTGGGAGAGCAGTCCGAACAACGTGTAATGTCGAACCTTGAAGTTGATCGGTAGGAAATAACTTTGAATGTGTGACAGGGATGATAATGCTCTGCATCATGAAATAAACAGCGACCTGAAATAAGAATGCAAGAGTGCGATAAACATCAGTAATGTTTTTTGTCAATGCAAGCCTTCTGAACTTTGCTGATTAATGCCTGCTTTTTGTACGAGAGGTCTGTCTTTGGTTCGTGGTCAGAAAATCTTCGATTTACTTTTAAGACTGAAAAATGTTAGGATCACATTTTGAAGTGTGTTCGGTGTTTTTTTTTCCTTCGTTAACCCAAAAGGCGAACGTTTCTTCTAAAAACCCAAGGACAATCTCTTAACCCTTCAACTCCCATGAGTGACCAAGACAGAATTTCTCCTTACAATATCAATACAATATCAAGCAGACAAGTGATGAGAATAAAGAAAAATATCAATTAGGGATTATAAGTTGATCCAATACCAGATTCTCCAAACTAACCTCACAAGAACTGAATGACAGACAGTTAAAGAATTACTAAGGAGATCTTGGGAGTTAAAGGGTTAGGTCTTTCAATCGGTGTTTATTTACTAAATTGTGAAAGGGTTATATTGTTCCGGGCCACACATCGAGCAAGTTTTTGGAAAGAAATCGAAATGATCGAATAATTTCAGGCCAGGGTCAAGTGTGTTCGTCTGTCTCTTAATCTAGTATCTAGTCGAAATGTTGTTATTTGGCATTGTTATCTTAACTGAGTATAAATATAAGTGTTGATAGATCCTTTTGGTATCAATAACATAGAGAAATAATCACATTCATGAACTTTCCATTAGCACGTTATTTACATTTTTAAGTTTCGAGCTATAATTTTATGTATTAAAATGAAACTTTGACTTCTTTGATTCTTCGGGTGTTGGATGAAAATAGAAATACTCCAAGGATATTATAAGCTCGGTCATCCAATATCGGGTAATCTTAAATTTTGGAGCAATTGAATTCGGCGTCTTTCTGACTGCGGAAAATAATGATATAGGTTGGTAATTTTACGGTTTCATTTTACAAAGTAGTGGTTAAAAGGTGCCCTAAAAAATCTTCGCTGTTACCGTTTTATGTATTTTGCCACCAAGCGCTCCAAGAATTAGGATTGAATCTTTACTGTTTTTTCCCTTCTGTTCTGATTTTAGATACATACTACTTGCTCAAGTTGAGTGTCAAAGCAGTTTTGCTGGTCCATTCTTCTTTCAACGACGCAGTGTATACTGAGTATTACAAGATGTAGTTGAAACTCGTGAAACTCCACAATTAACATCTACAACAATGGATCGAGTAGACATGACTTAAGGTAATAGCCAGGCCTTTTTCCGTCATCCGTCAAAACTTCTTGTAAGGTTCATGTTATCAAATGCAGTAGGATTTCGGAAAATAAAGAAAATATTGTTAAAGAAAAACTTACCTTGATAATTGTGCCTTCCATTGGGATACCGTTTCTTCTTTCTCTGTCGTGTGATACTTTATGGTCGAGCTTTGCCGGCGTCAACTTCACCTTTTAGATTTGCACAGTTATCCATGGTCCACTCAAAGAATCGAGCGTTTATATAACACGATCAAGGAAAACCCTTGCACTAGGGCGATTACACTACCCTTCTAAATTTAGATTTTTTGTAATATTAAGTTAATCAATTCGTTTCCCTTCTCACCCTGAAGCGGAATAAACTTAAATGATATCCACACCTTTTTCAATTTAAGTGATATGGACTGTTGGCATGTTAGATTAAGGGAATAAGAAATAAAGCCTTTTTCAAAATTATTGGAGAAGAAATGCAACTCATTTTAACTGAAAACCGTTCATCTTATCTTGGGGATATATTAGCATGTCTGGATGACTAATAACAACGATTAAAATACACACGGTATTTCAGATCGAGAAAAGAAACTGCTTTATGCGTTTGCATCCTGGATGCATTTGCATTTCGTTGATTTTTAGGTGCAACATTTATACGTTTGAGACTTTCGTAGCTGATGCAATTTTTAAAGTAATTGCAGCTCCATACTTGTTACACTGGAGTATTTTTTTGGATCTTGGTTTGGGGAATAAGCTTGAGCTGCATAAATTAAAGTGACGTATTTCCGTTGAAGCGACACTTCCTATACACCCACCTCGAACCCACTGAAGGATTTTCATTCATATCAGTTTGACAAGCTGCCGAATCTAGCGAAAAATGTGCAGCCTTTCCCTGCTTCATTTCTGCCGGGAACGTTTCAATTACGCTTCATTTCGAAAGGAAGTTCTTGTAGAGCTGATTTTCAATTAAGGACCAAGGTCACCCGAATGTCACGCAAAGCTTCTTTTGACTTAAAAGTAGTTTAAAGATTGAGTTTATTTTCGTTGTGACGAATACCAGCATTACACAATTTTCGTAGACTTGTACAGCAGCTTTATTGAAGTCGAAATCTGGTATCTCTTCTTATTATGTAGCCGTGAACTTGCAAAAGACCCAGACAACTTATGACCAATTTGAAGTTTACTCGTAATTAAATACAAAACGAAAAGAAAAAACAGACAGAGTTACCTAGGCCACATCCTAGCTAACCTTGCTGTTGATGAACTTAAGTCAATTTGGGTATTACCCGAGGGCTGCGGAAATGACATTTCTACCTGGTTATAAATAACACTGGTATATAAATGTCGAGGTAGAAGAGACATGGATTTACTCCGTCGTTTAACAGTTGGAAACATAAGGTATAGAGCAATGATTTCCCTCGGGAATCGCAAGGCATGTAGACAGCTTTCTATCAGGGATGTTACACAATCATTCTTGTCCTTGGTGAAATATTTCGACTCTCACATGAATTGTTAGACGACTGGGCATTCCTGATCTTTGTACATAATCGACATAAAACAACAGCCAGATCAGCAGAACAGTTAACTGCTGACATGACTTTTTTCCCAAGAGTCCATATTAGAAAAAAATCGTTTCTGGGTTGAACGGCGGTATTAAGATTTTCCGGATTTTTTTGCCTCTAAGATTCTCAACGTTGTCTACATTTGGATTATCACACGAAGTTCACTTCTTTCAGGTGTTTTCTGTTTATTAGTACTCTTATCGAGAAATATACAAAGAAACCTTCCAAATTATGCACATTTCAGTTTCAAGGCGTCTTCAAATTTAACTTGATGTTAAAAATTTATCTTACTCACGAACTTTGCTATTATTTCTTTTTCTTTAACGGTCAAGAACAGACAGAGTTACCTAGGCCACATCCTAGGTAACCTTGCTGTTGATG